CGTTGTTGTCGTTGTTGTCGTTGTTGTCGTTGTTGTCGTTGTTGTCGTTGTTGTCGTTGTTGTCGTTGTTGTCGTTGTTGTCGTTGTTGTTGTTGATGCTTATATAAGGGCACGATTTCAAATCCTGCTCAAGACTCAGAGTCTTCAAATTCGCAGCTGCATAAGTTACTTGATATACTGCGAGGATAAGCTCAATTTGATATATGAGAGAGCTGCTACACTGAATCTAACAAGATTATTGCTGTTCGTTAAAAGTTTAACATTTTGATTATAAAATTTGAAAGATTTTCTGTCTTGATTTATCAAAGTGAGCTTGTCAATTTTCATATCAATAATTGTGGATAATTACTATATAGCCGTAATTCAAGTCTGGTACTCGATACCCTGCTGTGTTTAGAATGAAAGATTAAAATTAAATTTAAATCGTATAGATAGTTAGATAATGTCAAGACTATGTGATGCTCATGATTGATGACCATGTTGACCACCATTTCATTTATAATGCCAGGAGATAGGGTGCATCATCAAGACAAGTGCTGATTTTCAAAATGGCGCCGGATCTCAAGAAGGCTAGATATATCACGGGTCAAAAGATATTGATTACGACTATATTTTCTGTGTTAATTTAACAAACAGCGCCAATTCCTACGTTGATTTTGATGTCCATGATGTTGTTCGTATTGGCTATGACGAAGTCCCCTCCAAAACTGCCACACATACGTACACGAAATGATCCTTCTAGTTTGATAAAGATGAGAATAATCACAATGATATTTTTGGGCTGATTTTCTAGAGTTGTACTTACTACTCTAGATCAAATCTGGCTCCTACATTACAATTATGCATGCTGTTGACGTACGCCTCCAAACGAACTTTCCTTATAGACAATTATAAAGCTATCAATCAATTTCCTTCAACTGTTTTATTATTACTATTATAATTTACGCCTGTGCCGGTGTGACGCAAGCCAAGCCCGTAGACGTTATTATGTTTACCGCTTTACGCGATAGGATCCTTTCCACCAAACATAAAATCGACTAAATTTAGGTTTATCTTATCAACGTAGATAAAGAAATTGGAATAATTGCACTAAAAACAAAAGGTCTGCTAAAAAAGTCGCCATTAAATGAATGCTAAGTAAAACGCGCAACTTCAACAGCGTCATATTATTTAAGAATAAACCACTTTTGTACGATAATGCCATTTATCATCAAACGTTTTGAAGTTTAATTTTCGTTTAAAAGGTCGCTTTATGTAGGATGAAAGACCTTTAACGAGTGTTTATTTTTTCATTGTACCTCTAATGCACTAAGATTTCCATCGCACTTTGTCTAGCCACAAAATATTATACAATTCCAAATCTTTTTCTCCAAATGCCGAGCAAAAAGGATCTTGGTTTACCTTATGATAATGAAACCGATAAAAACCCACTCTAACTAGTTTGCTTCTTATGGTCGTGTTTGGAGAACAGTGATGACACACGCTGCAGCTTTCTTTTTATCATTCAATTTTTGTATTTTTTCCCTTTCTTTCTCTCTTTTTTAAGGAGACGAATTGCTTATTCGTTTATACGGTTCCAAATTATGCAATTGATAACTTTGCATATTTGGTCATAATTAAGCATGAAATGAAAAGGAAAACTAGAAGGCGAAATAGGAGAAGGGGGCAAAAAGAAACGTTTTTCTCATGACAACTTCTCATAACACAGACATATTCTATACAACCTTAAAAGCCAGAATAACCAAAATATAATGAAATAACTACTCACCTTGAATGGAGAGAAACGTACCGACGGCAATAAAAGCCAGATAACAACCAGAATAAAGGATCCTAGACATCTTGACAAAACCTGGGAATGATCATGATAAATACAAATCACTCATGATCAAATCAAGAAAAATCCATTTTCAGGCTTATCTAGGGATGACGCATATTCTTGTACCCCCACTGGCTCCAAACACAAATAAAACAAATTTAAAGGGTTTTGCATTTCAAGATGAACTAAATGAAATGATTAAGAAACACTTCTAAATGATATAGAAGGGATTATTATCTTTTTTCTATAGAATAAGATTAGCTATCTAGTACTCAATGATCGATTTGCTGCTTACTTTTCACGTACTTTGATGTGTTTATTCAACTACATGAAGTCAAGTTCTATGAGAAATTAGAAATATTGTTTTGATGCTTGAATTTCAGTTTTACGGACTGATCTATGGACCAATTAAGATTTCAATGCAATCATTTTATCCCAACTGTAAAAATACTCTTTAGCTAACCGTAAATTTTTCATAAATGTGGAAAGTATACATCACAAGAATGAAGCGGAGTAATTTGAATTGGAAAAGAGACAAAAGGAAATTTAAAACGCCCTAAGAGAACTGTGTTTTGTAAACAAGTTCAAAGTTTGGGGGGGAAATACGGATTTTCAATTGCTGAAATAAAAGTAACGGCACGCAATAAACGTGAACGGCCGATAAAGTACATTCAAAAATAATGCATACAAAAATCTTTTACTCCGAGGAAGGACTAGCGTCCGAAACGTCAGTAAGTTTTTTCATCTTTTCACGGTGTATAATTTACCTTTTTATCATTACTGTTTCATCAGAATCACCGACGAAGCTCACAGTAAATTTTATCTAGTTATCTCTTTGACATGCAAAAATAGGTATGGGTAATTAAAAAAAAATCAGGCCAATTTGTATTCTTGGCATTTATTTTAGAAGACGACGTATTAATATTTTAGGTCTTTTCGGCTGTCAATCTATGCATCGGTCGATCAACGCTGATAAATATTTCATCGACCTTCCTCTTGAGCACGTGAATAGACGTTCGTACCGCCAAGAGATCACCTAACACAAATGTGGTTTATATTATATATATATATAGCCATATATATATTTGCAAAAACTTCAACCAATTTTTACTTCGTTACTATGTTTTTCTTTTCTCTTCTCTTCTCTTCTCTTCTCTTCTCTTTTTTTATATACTAACAAGATTATCTGAAAATCAAAAAGGAAAATATCCGCGAAGCTATCACATAATCTGCATAGATTTTTAATAAAAGACATAATTTTGCAAAAAAATAAATAAATAAAATGCAAAGATTCTGACTCTTCTTTTTTTTCTTTTTCTTTTTTCTTTTAATAATAAGTCAAAAAAGTCAGCGGAAAATTCTGCATCGATTTTTAATATATTTATCTTGATATACGTATATTCATGTTCGGTGAAAGAGACATGTTTTTTGTATATAGCTAAACATATATTAGACAAAAATTCTAGCTCTTGATCATATATTAAATAATATGTCAAAAAAATATTAAAATTTATAAGATACCCTTGCTAGCTTGTTTTTGATTAGATTTTTTTCCTTTTTTGACCGAAGAAGTTAAAAAAATTTTGAGCAACATTACAATTTGACAATTTGATTTTTATGTATTTATATAATTTTTTCTACGTGATCCCTATACATGCGTGCCGTAGTTCGTTTTTTTTTTTTTTTTTTTTTTCTATGGTTTCTTTCTTGTCATTGTGCTACGTGCAGGAGGTGAGAATGTCTTAACCACGATGTCAGTTTTGAATATCAACACGAAAGCCAGCCGTACCGCGTCAAATGTACCAGAGAAACGGTAACCAAGCCGAGTTAGACTTAATATGTATGCATGCATCATGAGTATTTTTTGATTAAAACTTTATCTTTCGGATTCTAAAATGATCTATGAACCTTGTCTAAAGCCTTTTTGCACCCTTTTTTTTTACTTCAATAGACCTATCCCGAATTCGCTTGACTGGCCACGAAACAATGGTCTGAAGTCGAGGTTGAACTTGATCAATAAAAGAATCAAGTCCAGTCTCGACTTCAAACCATTGTTTCGTGGCCAGTCAAGCGAATTCGGGATAGGTCTATTCCTGTTAAAAGGAAATTCAACCAATGATTTAGTCATGTTTATATGAAATATTTGCAATATAGTGACAAGGCGAAAAGACTCACACTTATTTACTATGTACCCCGCAGGGTTTCTCTCTAAGTTATTTGTTCAATGAAGGCCTAGAAAACGTTGGTTCTGTCAGGACTTATATTATACCAATAATATATTACTATTTTCGCACCCTGTATGAGCAAAAAGTATGGTATTGAAATACAAGGTCAAGTATTGCAGTTAAGCTTGGGCACGATTAGAACTAATATACCTATGGTCACCAACAACATGACTAAAAATACCGCCCCTCCCCTCCCCTCTAAAATATAGCTAAACACAAGCAAAGACGCAAAGTCCGGCATTAATGGCTATTTTTAAAAAGTGAAGAAATTAAGTAACATGCTCTTGAATAAGCTAAACATGCTTAAAAGAAGAAATTAAGAAGAGACAGCGAAAGATAAATAAAGAAAGTCCTCAAGAATGAGTGAATTACATAAAAAAAAGTTACGATTTCGTTTTCGCTCTGTAGTGCATATGCCATCTCAGTTGAAAATTTAATGAGAAAAGTATAACAGACATTAATTCAAAATAATTTATAGAATTGTTAAAATAATTTCCATTCTCGTTTTAAGGCATAGTTTCTTGATGATCCCGTTGGAAAATTATAGCAATTTTTGTGAAGTTGTTCTAACATTGTTTTTCACTCAAGGAGACATTACTTGTGCACTCAAAAGTGTCGTGGTGTTATTGAATTAGACAAAAAATACCTTCCTACTTCGTTGTCTTCAGTCTGCAGGTCGTGGTTCTTTAAATTAAATACTTGACTCAAAGCATGAATACATTTGGGACTCACTCAGTTCGTTATTTAATCAGCTATATCGGCTTAGTACAAGAAAAAGATTGTTATCAAGAATGGTAAGCCGTCGTCGCTTGCCATGTTGATCGCTATCGATTACAAACAGCCAAGCGAACAGAAAGGGATATTAACATTTTTTGAAAGCTCTACCGCAGAGGGATACAAAGAAAATAGTCTACTTCCAGCATATATAACGACTGAAATATTCAATGAAATCATTGCTTAAAATATTTCTGTTATCAGTTCAAAAGCAGAGTCAAAAATTAAAAGTTTATGAATGAAAAGCTGTTGTAATTTGTAAGTTCAAATTTTTCAACTTTTGAGTCCAACAAATGTTTTATATACCAGAAGCAAAATCCAACCTTGCAGAAATCAACGGTTTGTTTTTAACCATTCAAGGTTTGTACGTTGAATAATTTATTCTTTTCAGCGCTATGGAGCTGAGGACGGTGCTAATGATTTCGACCATCAAGCATTCGATTCCTCCGATTCTTGCTTTCAACCACATTCAAATATCCGAGATTTGATTTGCGAAGTTGGTTTTCCGGCAATTTAAGCGCTGAATTCGCTCGGTTAGTTGCTATACGTGGGAGATATGGAATAATAAATGTAACTTATTTGAAGCTATTACAAATCTTACCTTTCTTAAACGTAGAGTGATGTTGGATTTAAGAAAGATGGCTGACGAATCGCATGCGTCCCCAGAGTCATTATCAACAAGGTTGATTGTATTTTGCCTTAGAGAAAGATCTAGTGGCATAGGAACCAATTACAACTGCAGTGGCAAATCGATGTCAGTACTTCTATTATGTGGTCAATCTAATAGATTATATCACTACATTCTATGCTAAAGTCCTTGCAATTAACTCAAAACCCATCAAATATAAATGGCGTTTGGAGTCGGCGGTTTGACCATTTTTTGGTCCCCGAAAGCGTACACTTTTCAGTTTACGAACACGATTTTCCCCACAACATTAATCCTCTTGCCACTTCCCTCTTGCTATTTACAGGTGGGTGTATTAAGTGAATTACAGAGTAATAAATTCAGCACAAAGTCTAATTTATGGAAGAAAGAGTCATTGCATATGAATGAGTTTGTCGCATTGCTTGGCAAGACGCATCCCTCACAAATCTCAGCACATCAAAAATTAATGATTATCTAATAATAATAATAATAATAATAATAATAATAATAATAATAATAATAATAATAATTACACATGTGAATATGAATAATTAATAGATACTTCGATTAAAGAGCTTGATTTAGGGAGAATGTCCCCTGTTTTTTTTCTGTCGTTCGGTTTCTTTGTTTAGCTTCTCAGTTCAAATCGCTTCTACAGCTCTTTTCCCCCACCAGTGTTGCCCATTCTATGTAGCATTCTTATATCTTTTACTTTATTTCTGTAGATTGAATTCTTCCTCACTTAATTTATTCTGACAAATGTTCTAGTTCGTTCTTTTGTTTATTCTAGATGTCTCCCTACCCCTTTCTTTCCTTACTTCCTCTCTTTTTCTACTTTATTCTTACTTTGCTGTCTTTTTCTTTGTTTGTTTGTTTGTTTGTTTGTTTGTTTGTTTGTTTGTTTCTAGTGGACTTTTGAAGAGTACCTTAGTGCTTTTGTTTGTTTGTTTACGTGTCTTTATATTTCTTTGTTTGTTATGTTCTTTCTTTCTTTCTTTCTTTCTTTCTTTTTTATAATATTGCGATGAGGTCATCATCTTGCGTGACTCATGATGTCACCGTTTCATTTAAAAAATGCAAAAAATACAATTAGTGTGAATTTAATCGGCTTTAACACATAAATAAGCTAAATTATAGCTGAGATAAATTAATCTTTTGCCAATGTTTGACGAAAAACGTCAACGTAGTTATTAGAACTTATAGGAAAATTGTTGTATGTGTCAGTTCGTTATCATCGTTTGAGTGCCATTTCGGTTCATCATGGTCGTTTAATGATTAAATGTAGAAAAAGCTGAGGAAATGTACCGATTATTTTCAAAACTTTCATTTAATGTTGTTGTTTTTTTTTTGCGTCCTACGCATATCTTTAATCTTACAAAAATATATCTCTTCTCAATCAATTTCTTATTATCTTATCAAAAAATCACCTGATCTGTTGCTAAAAATACGCATTCGTCACTCACACAAAAAAGTGCCCCAAGTATAAACGCATTATACACGACTTTCAAAAATGGCCGCCAAACTCGGTTGGGACTAGGGACAGTTGAATGAAAGCAAGGTCAGAAAGGCCTCATTAGTAAACAAAGTCTACTTAGTACAATATTTTGTGTCAAAGTCATTCATTTCACCAATTCGAGTTCTTTTAAGAGTCTATTGAAGTAAGGGTGAATGTCTTTGACACAAAATATCGTATTGGGTAGACTCTGTTTACTAATGAGGCCTTGCTTACCCCGCTTCCATTCAATTGTCCCTTGTCCCAACCGAATTTGGCGGCCATTTTTGAAAGTCGTGTATAAACAATGTTTTGTGGCTAAATACATAAATAGTATCAAATAGATGAATATGACTAACTCAGAAAATAAAACAAATACAGCCTACGCCCTAAAAAATACCGAACCTTTTTATTAAAATTAAATTCGAATAAAACTCTCATTTTTAACCAAAACGCGTAAACCAGACATCAAAATGTGTAGAAATCGAATCAGTCATGGAGTTTTTAACTGATTTGCTTAGAGCATTCCGTTTTTAGACCACGCGTTATTCCCTTGAGAATAATTCCTTTGTTTATGGGGCATCCTTGCTCGCAGAATAAAAGGTTTTCCTTTTTTACGCGCTTCGGAATATTGAAGATTCTTTATTTGATTTCCATTCATTATCCTTCTCAACTTCTCAACTTCTCAAACATTGCTCAAGCAAAGTTACAAGGTTTGAAATTGTACAGCATTACCCTCGAGAGAGTCCACTAAATTGTTTTTTTATTATTATTATTACTTCTCCTTTGTGAAGCTATCAGGCCGGCTTTAATTTGCGCAAAAATCTTGTCACAATATTTTTGCAAATCATACATCCGTGAAATAGTACTAAGCTAATTAGTAGAAAAAAGCACCAATGAAACAATTGAAAACAAAAGAAATAGATGTTTAGAGCTATTTAATGTATAACTTGATATAAAACGGGGGAAAGATGTTCATCAGTCTTGGCAGCAAACTAATGCTGCAAACTAATGCAAAATAGCATCATAAGAATGACGTTTGACGAGGCTCTTTATGGATGCATCAGCGTGTCATCGCTAATGACAAAACTCCATGATCAATGACCTACTTGCGGCTTAAAGCTCTTTCCACGAGGATAGAAAAAAGGCCAAAAAAGCATTATTGCTAAGTTGGATGATGTAAAATAAAAAAACAAGGTTACACAGTTTGTTACTTGACAAACAAGGCGGTCATGGCGTCACATAATTTCATACAATCCAATTTATCTATCGAAGCAAAGTGTCCTTTTCGACTTTAAAAAACAGTGGACGCATAAGATTGCATAAAAGTGTAAGCAATTGAGCAGTCTAGTTGAGTCAACTAAATATTAAGATAATCACTCACTACAACATTTAGAAATAATAAATGTTTGTTCATCTTCTTTTAAGCCCACAGGTCTTCATATATGATCATTGTCAGGGGGAAAGCCGAGGAGAGACTACAGCATTGAGGTACAGAAATATATTTCACGTGAGTATTTGCGGTGAACATGATGGATACTATGTATGGTACTAAGTGTTCGTATACATCAGTAATCAGTCAATAGATGGTTCTACTTGATTAGAAAGCTTTTATCTCAGTTAGAGACATGCGTAGTGGTTGATGGAGATATTTTGGACTTTACATACTTGTAGTGAGGTAATCATGGTTTGATTGGTCAAGTCCCGTTCGACCAATCAAATCATAGTACACTATTTTTTCGTTATCCAATTTCAAGAAGTTTTCGGTTTTATATATATAGAGGATATTACATGGGCGCGCGGAGATACGAAATTTATCTTCGAGTGTTGAAAAGATCTCTCACAAGTGAGCGCAGCGAACGAGTGAGAGATTTTCAGCACGAGAAGATAAATTTCGTATCTCCAAGCGCTCATGTAATATTCTGTTTTTATCATATAATTATCTATAAAGTACTTATATTTCTCCTTTTCGAAAAACTGATATTTTCACATGTGAAAATATCGTTACCATGTTTATCAGGTGTCTAAAATCTCGTACATTCTACTCAGTGAAGATATCATATCCGTTACATGTGAAGATATCACCGTTTCCATGACTACGTTCTTATCAACCAATCACATTTAGGCCTTCACGGTTTCTTTCAGTCCTCATCGCCGGTAAACGATAATTTTGATGATAACTTAGACCTGTTTCTTCATTTTTATGAAATGCCAGAATAAAGACGGAGAAAGACAACAAAACTCTTCGTAATCTTAATGGTCTATTTTCCACCTTTCAACATTTTTCAGCAGAAGATGGTTGATTTTAGAGAGTCCAAACAGTCAAAAGTGTATAGAATCCCCAGGCCCTAGACTCTTTTTAGGTGAATCTGTATTTTGTGAATGGATTCCGTCTAGAGTTTGTCTCTGTTTTGTCTATTGATTTTGGAGGATTTTAACAAAAGAATTGTTTATATCCTCCTTTTGTTATATCCTCCAACATGGCCACCGTGTCTTGTTATTTAATTCTCTTGGGAATGGTTGAAAACCATCCAATAGAAATAGGTCAAAGCATAATCTTCAAGTACAGAAACCTCATTGAATCGAACGATCATTGACTAGATAGAGAAATTATTATTGAAGATTACTTATAGTTTCTAAGTTTGTTTTACGTCTTATGAAAACAGCTGCTTAATGAATTCACTAGATTGATTGGTAAAATCATCACAGATCTGGTGATTAAAGAAAATTTTCAAGTTGAAGTTCAGGTTCTAAGTATTACGGAAAAAAGTGGGCGCCAAGCTGTCATCTTAAGCCTCTGGCGAAACGAGAACATGTTCTTAATTGTCTTCAAAGGTGTCTGTTAGGAAACATTGGGAAACGAAGGTAAAAATCGTTTCCGTTCGGCGCGGAAACACAAAAAGGTTTCTGTCGTACTGCAGAAATATGTCTTGTTTCTCGGAAGCAAAGTTTGTCGTGCGTGGCAATGTTTTGCAAATAAATAAACTATGGGAAACATGAAGGAAGCATGCGCGCGGCCAAAATGTAACTTTAACCGTGTTTTGCGTGCAGTGTTTTTATGAGAGATCATTGTTTGGATCATTATATCCAGAGAGCGCTAATCCTTATCGATAGTTTTCATTAGATTGATCGTGCGTGAGTCTCATCTCTCTGTGTAAAATTATCGTGATTAGCTTGGATAGTAGCCTCCTTTGCAGCCGTTCTTAGGGTCCAGTCACGCGACGTTTCCCAGGCTACTTTGATGACTGCGAGAGGACAATGGCGGCCTATCGCGGTCACCATGCACCGGGGGCGTAGATATTTCTAATTTGATCTAGAAAGGGTCTACATGAAAATTACTCTGTGTCAATCTGGTTACCTGACATTAGTTTTTATTGTGTAGTTAGGTCTCAGTCACAGGAAGGCAGTGTACCATATTTTCCCGCTATTCACACGCGTACGCGTTTCATGTTTAGGGTTAACCGCCATATCCACAAGTTTAGTAAAACTTTGCCACCCTCTCGTTACGCCACCACTGGTTTATATGCACAGTGCATGTTTATATCATATTTTGAAACTACATGCATTACACTCAATCAATCAATCAATGTATTGCTCATTTCTCTTAGAGAAACATTCAGCTCTCACTTTACTCGAGTAAGTTCAACTACTTTGAAGCCAAGCTATTATGGTTGCGTCTAAAGCATTCTTTGAGAATCTGTGATGGTTGATATTCCTGAAATCTTTGGTAGATTGTTCTTATTAATGTTTTTATTGGACGGCCTTTTCTTTTGTTGCTTGTATCTATAAAAGTTAGCTTCTTGATATCTGCGGTTCGAGGAGCGTATAATATGTGCAAACCATGCATTTTAGTTGTTGTTTTACAACAAAGTCCTTCAAGGGCGTTGCGCTAGTATATACCTTT